TCATCCTACAGTAGAGAGTCATGGAATATTTCCTAATCCTGGCAATAGTGACAGTGAAAACTCATTAAGCAGCTCTCATCCTAACCAAGTTCCATTGGACCCTATAACCCCTGAACCAGTTCCTCTGTACAGCTGGCTTGCCATTACAACAACACCCTGCAGTGCCACTTGTGGAACGGGTATAATTTAGTTGTTAGTCATTACACTAATATTTTCAATATTTTTCGACCTGAGACATATAAACACATTGTTGTGACTAATAAATGGTGTTCTGTATTATAAAATAGTGACACATAACATTCATGCATTCCAGGCCATTGCAGAGGTTTCAAAATGTCCTCACTGTTTAAATTCTAAATCAAATCCAGAGTAACCATACTTTTGTGTCTGCAAATAAAACTAAAACAGATTGGTATTCTCCCAGCAGCAGACACTGTACTTGTAAGACATCACAATGACAATGTTATGTCTTCCTGTCTGTCTGTTTGGGTATAATTTAGTTGTTAGTCATTACACTAATATTTTCAATATTTTTCGACCTGAGACATATAAACACATTGTTGTGACTAATCAATGGTGTTCTGTATTATAAAATAGTGACACATAACATTCATGCATTCCAGGCCATTGCAGAGGTTTCAAAATGTCCTCACTGTTTAAATTCTAAATCAAATCCAGAGTAACCATACTTTTGTGTCTGCAAATAAAACTAAAACAGATTGGTATTCTCCCACTGTACTTGTAAGACATCACAATGACAATGTTATGTCTTCCTGTCTGTCTGTTTAATCTGTTTGTCTGTGTGTGTGTGTGTGTGTGTGTGTGTGTGTGTGTGTGTGTGTGTGTGTTAGGCGCACGCGAACAATTTTGCTAATAGAACACTTGAATAAACATTTTGTAAGGGTAGATTTGAACACAACACATGACAAGCAGACGTACATGCCTGCACATCTTAAAACATCTAAAAACTGTCCATGTGGTTCATTTCCAAATGGTGCAAATAAGAAGCACATGCGACTGAAACCAAGCAGTGTGTGTGTGTGTGTGTGTGTGTGTGTGTGTGTGTGTGTGTGTGTATGTGTGTGTGTTTGTGTTTGTGTAGCTGGGATGTTGGAGAGTGGTCTGAGTGCACTAAGACCTGTGGTCCAGGGTTTCAGTATCGTCAGGTGATTTGCCAGCAGGCTCAAGGACACCATGGCAATAGCACAGTCATTGTGGCGACCAGCCTCTGCGATAACACAGAAATGCCAGAGACGACCACCGTGTGCCAGCTCAAGATCTGCAGTGAGTGGCAGATCCGCTCAGAGTGGACAGAGGTTTGTGAATGTGTCTGAGTGTGTAGGGGACATTGGGGTAAGATGGAATTAATATTCATAATTATTTTTCATGACATCTTGATCACCTGAAATAAATAGAAACCATCCGTAACAATAGTATAAGTAATAAATATAAAATTAGTACAAATAATACTAAATAATGCTATATAAGAACAAATCATTCTTTATTCTTTACAAAAACAAACAATCAAACTAACAAAATTAACAATATACTATATATATATATATATATATATATATATATATATATATATATATATATATATATATAGTAATCTTAATCACAGACTGAAAAGATAGACATGAAGAGTGTTTTTGTATACAGTGAGCTTCATCAATAAATGTATTCATTTCATTGCATTGAATAAAGTTAACTATGGCTTAAGTGAAATATTTCTTGGAGTCACTTTATGATATGACTATGACTTTATGAATTGTTCAGTTTCCTAAATATTTGTAAATACAGATGGTGGCTCATCTTACCTCACTCTCTCCTTACACTACCATTCAAACTTTTGGGGTCAGTAAGTTTTTTTTTTTTTAATTAATACTTTTTTCATGTATGCATTAAATTAATCAAAAGTGACCGTAAAACCTGACCTGTCTATTCATCAAAAAATAAAAATGTATCAGTTTCCACAAAAATATTAAACAACCCAACTGTTTTAAATTGATAGTAATAAGAACTGTTTCTTGAGCAGCAAATCAGCATATTAGAATCATTTCTGAAGGAGCATGTAGCACTGAAGATTGGAATAATGGCTGCTGAAAATTCAGCTTATAAAATGGAGAGTTCCGGTCCTTGATTCTGATTGGTTGAGCCGCGTTCGGATCTGTTGTAAATTACTCTACAAACATACACCTTTGTTTACGTTTGTGTGTTGGAAGAATACTGTTTTTATTAATATCATTACACTTTATTTGCTCCGTTTTATTCTGTGAAACCTTACTACGTATATGGAATAACCGTTTTATAAAAGCCTCCGCTTCGCGTCATGCCTAACAACGCCCTTCAGCTGTTATACATTCACTGTAAACCACGGCTTCTTGGCTTATTGCTTTATTTCTCATTACAGGAATAAATTACAGTTTAAATACTTTCCAAAAGTGATTTTAAATTGTAATATTTCACAAGATTGTTGTTTTTACTGTGTTTTTGATCAAATACAGTATATGCAGATCAGGTCAGCATAAGACACTTTAAAAAATATCCAAAAAGTTTACTGACCCCAAACTTTTGAATGGTAGTATATATGGGGAAAAGAAGAGAAAATGTTAAAACGAAATATTATATACATTATATTTGTTTATGACACAATATACAATATATTATGGCTACATATTCACCAGATGATGGCCTTTGGAAATCAACAGCCATCAATATAAAGTGCTCAGAGAAAACACTGGCTATAGATAAACCTCTTTCTCTCTCTCTCTCTAACAGTGCTCGGTGCCATGTGGAGTAGGTCAGCGTAAAAGAGAAGTTGTGTGTGTGGATAACCTGGGTGACATTGTTGCTGATGAGGAATGCAATATGGCCATTCGCCCACAGGACCTGCAGAATTGTGACAAAGGAGTGTGTGCCAGCAGCTGGTTCTACTCTCTCTGGAGTGACAGGGTGAGAAATCTGTGCATTTTTCTGTGGTATTTTGCACTTCTAAAACAGTTGCTTATGTCTCTCTGCAGTGTTCTGCAGACTGTGCAGAAGGAAGTCGCAGCCGGTCGGTGGTGTGTATGATGAGTCAGACCAACTCATTGCCTTTGGACAACTGCGACGATGAGGATAAACCTGACGAGCTCATGCCGTGTGACCTGGGACCCTGCACACAGCGACTGGAATGGTACACAGGATCGTGGGGACAGGTACATGAACAAACAAACACATATGCATGCAGAAAAGTCAAACACTGTATTTTTTTTACCTACTGTAGTTTGATGCTGCCTGTCAAAACTGACCGGCCTTTTAAAAATTGCTTGTAAATCTTTCAATTGTGTTATATTATCACCAAACATCAGATTCAATATTTTTGGCAACCTGTTTTCTTTCAAGTAGCACTTTTTGGAACTGAATGGTCGTAGGCCTCATTTATCTGAGCTTATGCACTTCAGATTTTGAGTGAAGAAAGCATTATTTGTGGATAATTTGGGGAATGTTCACTGAAAAAGAGGTTTAAGGCCTACAATCAGTAAGTTCCAAAAAGAAATACAAAACTTGTGCTAATTGGAAGAAAACAAGCTAATGAAAAGATCTAAGAATCCAAGGTTTGGTAATAATATAGCATAAAGAGAAAGCAGGCTTTTTGTAGGCTGGCCACTTTTGACCCAGAAACACCACAAGTGTAACAAGCCTGGGGGAAAACACCCCCAAAAAAGAATTACGTTTTTCGAGGGGGGAAGTTGTTGTACCCTGTGTAAACAAAGTCAGTAACTAGCATTATTAGATTTATATTTAATTTCTATTTGTTTGCATATGTAAATATTTTTCAATCTGTCACACAGAAGCGTATCAGAAATAAAAAGCATGTTTGGCCTTTCATGATACACATTGTTCCAAAGCAGCTTTGCAGAGAAATGAAAAACTATACTTCCTTGGGCAGAAGCAAGATTCAGATGGGGAAACCCACCTGCTATTCTCAGATTTACATCTCTGCTCAGTAATAGACCACTGCTGCTCTCTAGTGGAGGAAACAGGACACTTTAAATCAAGTGTTTATTGTGCTACATTTGACAATACATTTTTTTTGTTTGTTTTACTCTGATTCTATGAATCAGAAAAGTAACAAAAATCAGTTTTTCATCCATCATTTTTACTCGATTCATGTTTTTTCAGTTTCAAAATTAAAACTAAATTAAAGTGGTTGAAAAGGTACAATGAACTTTGGCAACACTTATTTTACTTATATTCACAAATGTTCAATTTAAAGAAACAGTTAAATTTAAAATGGAAGATTTTTACACTGCATCAAATTACATCAAATCCATACGAGGATCTTTAAAGTGGTCAAAGGTGTCCACAATCAGACAAAACATATGCAATATTTCTCAGCATTAAATGTATACAGGATGATTTAAACTGTATTAGATGCTTTATATATATATATATATATATATATATATATATATATATATATATATATATATATAATATATATATATATATATAAATATA